TAGGGCTGCACTCTGTGACTGTGGGCAGGACCCCACCGTCTCTGGGCCTACAGCACCTCAGGTGTCTGCCCTCCTGGGGTCGTCCTCAACACGTGCCCTGCTGGTGACTCTTCCCTTCCTATGCTGAGGGGCTGCCTCGCTCCCTGGGCTGGGGCCGAGGAAGGGTCTTCTGGGCTTTGCCTGATGCTGGGACACCTGCTGAGTTGCCTGCTCCTGCCTAATCGCTTGCCTGCCAGCTAGGGAGGCCTGGAGAGGAGCAGAAACTGGCCCAGACGGCAAGGCAGGGGTGGGCAGAGCAGGGAGCCTTAGCTCCCTGGCTGGCTGGGGACACAGGGGTCAAAGCCCTGGGGGTGGGATCGCCGCTTGCTCCCGTGTGTGGCTGCTCAGGACGAGGTGGCCACCTGCCTGTGCCCCCGCCAGCCTGTGGTGTGCGCCAGAGCCGTGGAGCCCCAGAACCACCTCCTTCACCCTGTCCGGGTGCCCCACCTCCCACTGGAGCTAGGAGCACAGGAACGCCCTGATCCCTTGCCTGCCCGCCACGCTGACATCTGCCTTACAGCCACAATGGGAAAGCGGCAATGTTTCTGTTTTATTTAAAGAAAGCCTAAGATTAAAGAGTTTTTAACGTCTGTGTGCTGGGGGAAGTCCTCATTTGTCAAGGCCTGGCCCCCCAGGGAAGCAGTGGGCCACTCACAGCTGTGTGTTCCCACAAGGGGGGCTGTCTAGGCTTCTCGGGTTCCTGTGAACTTAGGGACCTGGTAGGCAGGGCAGGACTTGCTCCCATTTCACAGAACATGGGACCAAGGCCAGAAAGGATTTGCCCCAACCCCCGTGCAGGCCCTGCTGCTCTCCTTGTCCCCAGCCCCTGGTTCTTGCTGCCCAATCTGTGGGTGGCTGGTGTCCGTTTCTGGTTTGGTCTTGGGATCCAGTCCCAGGATCCTCCGGAGGAGTTTGGGAGGTTAGGCCTCAGACTGGGATTACTGGGGTGAGGTTGTGGGGTGGCCGGTGGGGCAGAGGTGAGTGGACTGTAACGGGTCTGGGGTGGGGTCAGCATAGGGATTATTCTGCAAGCCCCTCAAAGAAGGTAGGTAGTGGAGGCTGCCAGGACATAAGGCAGGGGGCTGATGGCGTGGGCCACGTTGTGCTCTGACCACCTGCTCAGGAGGGCCCGGCTCTGCAGGCCTGGAGAAGAATGGGCAGTTGGAAAAGTTGGATTTGCAGCAAGCATTCGGTGATGGGGTAGTGATGTGGCCTGGCTGAGGTCGCATGGCAGGCCTGTGGTCTGCAGCCAGGGAGGTGGGCTGAAGCCTCACTCTTCCCACCTCCTAGGCAGGCCCGGGGGCCCTGGGCTGGCCACGCTGGGCCTCGCACCTGCCCTGAGCAGCCAGCCCCCAGCCTGCAGGGGCACTTGGTTATCTACATGAAGTATCTGTCTCTTCGCCTAAGAGGTGTTCATGCAGGTCCTGTGGGGCACATACAGGCAGTGGGGGAGCTTGGGGATCACTGCAGCTGTCAGACAGGGACAGATTCCCCAGAGGGACTGGGGACAGGAAATGGTGTGCACACAGCGGGTCTGGGTCCCAGCAGGTGCATCGAGTGGTGGCGGCCAGTTGGCACCCTGGAGCAGGGCAGGGGCCGGGGGGCAGGACGGGGCTGGGGGTCTGTAGGAGGTGTTCAGGATGGTCAGGGGCATCTGGGCTAAATGTCACTGTGTCCCACGGGGCACTGCAGTTTCTCTGTCCACTCAAGGGAGACACACCCCAGCCAGGTGGGAGCAGGGGGAGGGGGGGCTCTCTCGCTCTTTCTGTCTGGAGGCGGTCCAGCCACAGAGGGGAGGAGGGTCTTGCTGACTAGGGCACAGTGGGGTTTGAGCAGCCTCACCCATCCACTTGTGGATGACCTCCCGTCCTTCTGCATTCTTTGTGACCCCCATGAGCCAACTCCTCCATCCCAAGGCCCCAAGTGCCCCTGCTGGTGTGAGCAGCTCCGGTCTGCACTGCGGCCACCCGAGGGCCAGCCCTCCCAAGGCCCAGTCTGTGGCCTCCCCAGCTCCTGAGGGGGACACTGGGCTGTGCAGGGCTGGGAGGTGTTCTCAGGCCTGCAGACGTCAGGGGCTCTCCTCAGGCTCATGCCACTTGGCCAAGTTCGAGGTGGCAGCTCCCACCCTGGGAGGTCCCTGCAGCCCGGCGCTCAGGTGGTGATGGGCAGGGGCGCCCTCTGTTGGCCATGCCCATGCTGTGCGGAGGCCCCCAGGTGCATGGGTTCCCCCACCTGTTTTCCCCAGGAATGGGGCGGCTGCCCACCCCCTCTGCATCCTGGAAAAGCTCAAAGGCAATACCCCTGTTGCTCCACTGGAAGCTGAAGCCAAGAGCTGCAGTGTGATACTGCTCAGTCCCCACGTCTGAGGTGGTGGCCCTGGCCCCTTGCCTCCAAATCCAGGGCCCAGTAGAGGCTCTCTGGAAGGCCGGCCATATGCAGAACCTGGAAAGTGCCCAGCCCAGAGGGCACCGGTGGGCATTTGGGCCTGGAGTGAGTGGGGCAGTGGCACGCTGGGCTGACGCAGGCTCCAAGGCCGCCGGTGTGCTGGGTGCGGCTCCTGCCCTCCACCTCTCTCCAGGGCTGCAGAGCCAGGTCACGACTGGGGCCAGCTGGGGAGCCTCGTGAGGGGAAAGCAGGAGCCTGAGGTTCAGCCCCCCGGGGCCACTGCTGCCCGTCTGCTGGCTGGGAGTGCTGCTGCCGGCCCAGTGGGCACAGAGCCCAGCCCTGGCCCTTGGTGTCTGGGATGAGCTGGCCTGTCCTTGCACACGGCTCCATGGACACAGTTTCTTCTCATTTCAACTGTCTCCAGGGCTAAGGACACAGTAGGCCCCTTGTCAGGGGAGGTGACCGAAGCCCGTGGAGGTGTGCAGGTGTCCACTGGCCCAGATGCGCCCCACCCCACGTGCTCCCGGGGAGACCCGGGCTGGGCGGCCAGGCTGCCTGCACGTCCACGGGCTCCCTTCCCAGCTTCCCCGTGCTGGACCTGTGGAGCCGGACATGCCCACCCTTGACTCCAGCTTCCTTCCCACCTGGGGGGCGGGGGCTGGGGTGAGGGCAATGCCTCCGGGGGCTGAGGGGAGACTCTGGAAGTGGGGCCAGACTCCCCTTAGGCTAAGGAACTGGTCCTACTCTGAGGTGGTGCGGGACTGGTTTGCAGGAAGGCCAGCCCAGGATGCATTTCTCCCCCAGAGCCTCCGTTTCCCCTTCTGTGAAATGAGTATGAGTGGCCCTGGGTGAGAAGGGGGGTCAGGTGTCCCGAATGGGCCTGGCTCAGCCCGGCACTCCTGAAGGCTGGCTCCATGGGCTCCTGGCACCCAGGAAGGAAGGAGGTCGCCTCTGCCTCAGCTTTATTTCTTCTCTGTAAGTGTGGGAGACAGAGAGTGCCCCTGTCAAGGCTCTGGGCCCTTGGGCTCCGTGATTAACCTGAGGCTCAGGGAGCTCATGGAAGCATGTGGCTACGTAGAGATGATCTCCGGTGGTGCCGGGCCCTTCAGGGAAGGAGGCGGCCGAGGAGTGTGGCCCCCAGCGGGGCCAGGGCCCTGGCACCCAGCCTGGTGGCCTACATGGAGTTGCACAAGTCACGGAAGCAGCAGTAGACGGGGTGGGCGTTCCCCATGCTGTCGGGGTCAGTGGCTATGCAGGAGCTGCTGCAGGAGCGGGTCACCAAGGGTCTCTGGTTGAAGGGGTACTCTGCAGGGGTGGGCAAGTGTCAGAGCCTGCCCCTCCCCTGCCCAGTGCCCTTCCCAGCTGCCCCAACCTCCAGGCACTCGATCTGGCCCTTCCTGACTGACTGCTCCAGTGAGAGCTGGTGACCCCCAGACTAATGGCTGGGCCTGGGAAGTCGTCCATGCTCCTCCCTCCAGGCCCCCTGCTAGGGCGTGCAGTGCAGCCTTGGGGTGGGGGCCTGGAGCCCCAAGGCTGACGCAGTCCTTGTGCTGCACCCCAGAGCCAGTCTGTGGGACCTCCACCGCTGCCCCCCACAGCCCTGAGGACCATTTGGGGAAGGTGACCACTGTGGACCCCCAGCCCACTGTGGGCTGGACTCACCTGACTCTATCTGCACCAGCATGGTCTTGCAGGCCGTGGCCTCTGGGTTGCAGTAAGAAATGTTCTTGCACAAAGAAATGGCTGTGGGCTGCTCACATGTGAAGCATTTGAAGGCCTCACCTGGGCGAGGGATGGGGCAAACCTCATCACCTGGCCTTGAGACCCATCTTGGAAGGCTGGAGCCAAGGCCCTTATTATGGTCTAGCCCCTGGGCATACCCCACCTGGAGTGTCTCCCTTCCCATCCCTGCTTGGGGGAGGTAGCTCGCCTCGCTGAGACCCTTCAAGGCCCAGGGCTCTGGCCAGCAGACTGGAGCACTGCATTCCTCCACTGAGCCTTGGTTTTCCTGCCTGGAAAATGGGGCCTTGAAGCCTGTCCTGATCAAAGGCTCTAGGGCCCAGGAGGCTCATTTAGGGCAAGGGAGATGAGCCTAGGGGGTGCCCAAGGAGGCCTTCTGCCCAAGCCCCAGAAGGGCTTTCCCCTGCCAAGGAGGTGGGCCAAGTGAGGCCTAGAGACATGTCCCTTGTGAGCCACACCACCGTCCCACTCACCGGCATGCAAGCTGGAGCCTGCGATGAGCAGCAGCGGGAGCACAGCCCTGCAGCACGCCATCTGCCGCACTCAGAAGCCGGGAGAGGCAGAGTCTGGGCCACCTCTGTGGACACTTATACCCTCCCCTCCCTGCAGTGCATGCCAGGGTGGCGGCGGAAGTGGTATGTGAGTCAGCGGGGTGGCCTCGGGTAGAAGTGGGAGGTAGCGGGCAGGACGGTGGGCAGGCGGGCCGCGTCACTCACAGGCCCTCAGGGAGGGGGACCCCTCATTCCCCGAGCCTGTGTGGTGCCGGCCCGCACAGACGCCACATGGGCACTGAGCCCCACTGGGGAGGCCCTGGCCTGGACTCAGGTCAGTCTCCTTCACACCCAGTTGTCCTCCACCTGACACAGGTGCCCCACCAGAACACAGGCCCGGGGGGGGTCAGGCCAAGTGCAGAGGAGGGTGAGTGCCTGGTGAGGTGTGGGGATGGTGTGATGTGGGGTGGTACGGGCCCCCTGGGCTACTCTCGGGCTGATGGGTGTGGGGCTCCAGACAGGCCCCACAGTCACTGCTAGCCCCTTCCCTACAAATGACCTTGAGGCCAAGCCTGAGCTTCCCGGTTTAGGCCCTGGACAACAGGGTTCTGCCCACCCCCCACCTCCTGGCCCGACAGCCTTCTGTGACTTTGTTCACTGCCCACCTCCCATCGCAGGCTTTCCCATGCCCACACCTTCGTCTGTGCTCTGCTTCTCAGTGGACACCACCTCTGGTCTCCCATCCTAGCCTCAAATCTTCCCCATGCTATGAGGCCCAGTCCAGGTGCCCCTCACCCAGAGGCCTTCCTGGTGTTCTAGACTCTCTAGTTTCTCTGTCCTCTGACAGCCTAATGGGTGGATGGGAGGGTGGATGGGTGGATGGGTGGATGGGTGGACGAGTAGGTGAGTAGATGGATGGATGGATGAGTAGATGGGTGGGTGGGTAGATGGGTGGGTGGATGGGTGGGTTCAGAGTGGAGTGAACGGCTGGAGAGTGCATGAATGGAGGAAGGAAAGATGGGGAAACAAGGTAGATGATGGATGGAAGAGCAATCGGATGGGTATAGGTGGCAGATGAAAGAATGTGAGGGTGCTGCAGGCTGGGTGTGGGGGGCTGCTGAAGGGTATGGAGTCATACCCCAATCTCCAGGCAGGATGACATGCTGGGAGGAGCTTGGGCTGGCACTCAGGATGCCTGGGTTTTGGTCTTAGCTTTGCTGCTGGCTCCACGTGTGGCCCTGGAGTGACTCCCTTGCCCCTCTAGACGGCATTCCTGTTTGTAGGATGAGACTAGGGACCCAGGGCAGTTTCGAGGGCAGACGTGACCTGGCCTTGTGGACTGAGGAAACAAAGAAAGGGCGTTGCTTGCAAAGGAATAGATGGCGGTTGCTGCAGCTCCAACAACTGGGCCTCACATGGCAGGTGCAGGCGCAGACAGCGGCCAGGGTGGCCCTTCCCCAGGGCGGCCCTTCCCTGGGGCCTGGTCCACGATTGCACCCAGGATGTTGCAAGAGGAGCCAGGGAGTGTCTAGTGTGGAGTCTGACAGATTGAGTGGGTCCGAGCCCCGCCTGACCTCCTGTGTGACCAGTCTGCTCACGAATCCCTCTGACCCCCTTTCTTTCACCTGTAAACCAGGCAGAGCGTCCTGTGCCCCAGAGGGCAGCTGTAAAGACAAGGGGGTGGACGGGGACCTGGAGCAGCCATGGGGCAAGCGTGCCGAGAACACAGCTGGCATGGGCAGGAGGGTGAGAGACCCCGTGTGCTGTCGGGGACTGCCTGGAAGGGCCCTTGCTCTGGCTTCAGAGGGGAGGGAAGGTCAGGTGGGAGCAGTGGCCAGGAGCAGGGCACAGAGCTTTCCCATGTTTCCCCGGAAGGCCGCGTGCGCGCACGCGTGCATGTGTGTGTGTACTGGGTCCCAAACCAGGCTCTAAGACTCAAGTGACCCCACCACTCTCCTCACTTCTGTGGTAGACACAAGAAACGCCGTGGGAGAAGTGTGAGGAATTACTGGACGGGGCCCCCTTCGTGACAAAGTCAGAGTTCAGAGCTACAACCCCAAATGGAGGCATCTTGACAGCACTTGACCGTGCCTGGCCTCCCAAGTTCCCTGCCATTCCTGGAGACTGCCGAAGGGGTCCCTGGTGGATGGTGACCATGCAGTGCGGTCAGCCTGTGCTGGACACATGGGGCGGGGGGCTTGCTGGGCAGTGGGGGTTCTGTCCTCCAGGATCTGTCTCAGGACCACAGAGCCCCTGAGATTGTAGGTCTTGCCACAGGAGGCAGAGGTGTGGGGTTCCTGGGGTCCCAGGGATAGGGGGCCTTCTGGCCACTGGTCTCCTCTCCCAGAGACATGGGGTGTCCTTTGCCCCAGGACAGTCCTGCTTCAGGTCCTGGCTGCCCCCTGCCATCCATCCAAGAGCTGGGAACCCCAGAGAGGGTGAGGGCTGGTTGTGAGGGCTCTTTGGACTCCGAGTTAGAGGCTAGTGGGGAGAACCCCAGCCCCATCTCAGCTTGGCTGGATGCCACTGCCGTGCGCCCCCTCCCAGGACCAGGCTCACCCAGGGGCCCAGGAGAAGCCGCTGGAGCAGAGGGCAGAGAGGAGGGACAGGTCCCAGGGTGACTGAGGCCCTCTCCTCCCCTCCCCCTCCCGCCTCCCCCAGGTGGTCCTGGGAGGGTGATCTGGAGGATTTGGTGCTGGCCAAGGCCAAGGTAGAGTGAAGTTCCCCTCTGCCCTGGAGCTTGGGCTGCCCTGGGCACCCAGGGAGTGGGGCTTGGTGAGCCGGGAGAAGGCAGGTGGTGGATGTGCCCAGTAGCATCCCCTGCCACCCAACATAAGGGGACCGTGTCCAGGGGCCAGGTGAGGGGGCAGTAGGTGCTTCATGGATCGATCCCGGATCCCAGGCCACTCTTAGCCCGCCTGGATCTTCCTTCCACCGGGCTTGGCCTGCTCTCCTCTACCCAAACTATCTCTCAGTCACTCAAAGCCTGGCCTTAACGGCCCCCTCCTCCGAGAAGCCACCTGTGACCTGGCCCTGGCAGGAGCGGAGCTACCCCTGCCGGTGGGGTCCCACTTTCTGCCCTACTGCAGTCAGGACCCCTGCAGGGCCCAGAGAGCAAAGTCCTGACCAGTTTGCTGGCCTAGTGACCATCCCTGCTCAGCACGTCTGGGGACACGGAGAGACAGACAGGGGCAGCCATGTGGGTGAGGAGAGCCCCAGAGAGAAGCCAGAGGCCAGGGGGGCCAGAGATGGACCAGGAGGGGCTGAGAATGGGCGGGACGGGGACACAGGTCGAAGGGGCAGAGCCAGACTTGAGGCTCAAGGCCCTCCCGCCCCGGTGGGCAGGGCTGCCGAAAGGAGATGCAGGAGGCCTGGTGCAGGGACAATGCTTCTTCAGGGGCGCTTAGGGCTGGCACGGATGGGGGGTGGGGGCAGAGGGGGCGGGTGCTCTAGAGGCTGAGGCTGCAGAGCAGGAGGAGCGCCAGCGCCAAGGCCAGGCTGCGGCCGCCGTCCAGGGCGGGGGCCCCGTCTATGTTGCAGAGGTCCGTGTTGCAGCAGGACACAGGCCGGGTCTGGCCGATGCCGTCCACGTCCGAGGGCACACACTGGACCGCGCAGGACTTGGTCACCGTGGAGTCCCCCAGGAAGGGGTACACTGTGGGCCATGTTGCATGCCTGGTCAGCTCACGAGCTTCAGGGACCCCACGCCCAGCCCCATGACCCCAGGGTGGGATCAGTCCCTCCGTGACCCGTCCCCCACTCCTCTTTCCTTCCGCCACTGTGGGCTGAGTGCCGCCTCTGTGCTGGGGACACAGCGACTTGCACAGGATTCCTGGCTGGGTGAGGCAATTCCTTTCCAGGTAATCCCCAGGCAAGGTGAGGATTCCTTTCCATTAAAGGAAAGAAGGGAGGAGGGAGGAAGGCCTAATTGCTTGGACCAAAAACCCCTTTGCAAACGGCTAAGGCAGTGGATGCACACTGCGCATAGATGGCCAGGAGTGACCGTCCTGGAGGCAGCTCTGACCCTGGGACCCTGGCCCCTCCCCACCCAGCCCCCGCCGACCTGTCTCCAGGGGGTAGGGGGTGGTTGCCCCGCCCCCCCCAGCCCCCACTCACCTGTCTCCAGGGAGTAGAGGATGGTCTTGCATGCGGTCTCGTTGGCGTTGCAGGTGGCGATGGTAACACAGCTGGACGCACCAGTAGGCTCATGACAGGTGTAGCATTGCAGGGCCACCACTGGATGAGAAGGGACAAAGGACGCATCAGGCAGGCCCTGCCGCTCCCCAAGCCCGCTGTCCTGGAGGCACAGGTTTGAGGGGGACCATGCCATTCAGGCTCCAGTTGCCCAGCGACCCAAACTCTGGGAGGACTCAGGAGGTTTGAGCTGTGGTCCTTAAGAGACGGAGTGTGCCCCTGATGGGCTCAGCCTGCAGGGCCAAGGTGCGGAGGGGACAGCTCTGGAAGCATCGAGGAGGTGCTCCCTGCTACAGGGTCAGGGAGGGCCTCGGTGTGTCTGGACACCCCCTTGGGGTCCTGATCAGCAAAGAGCAGCACCCAAAGAGCGGCAGTGGGCATCAGGAACAGACAAGAAGGTGTGTGGGGTGCAGGGTGGACCGGGCCGGGCCTGGGGCACCCACGGGTGCCAGCTTAACGAAGGAGGGAAGAGCCACAGGGCCCCGGACAGGTTGGGGTGTGGGCCAGCAGGGGCGGGGGCCCCAGGGTGCACCGCTCTGTGTCCCACCCCACCACAGGAGCCTAGGTGGGCCTGCCTGGCTCCAGCTGGTCCGTGCACAGTGAGGCCACAGGCTCCTCTTCCCCCACTGTGTGTCACTGCGTCTCGGGTTGACCTCAGTGTCCCCTCTGGCTGGGGCCCCCTCTTCCCAGCTCCTTTTCTGGTTGCACGTGGGGGCCCCGAGGGGCTGGGGTGTCTCCCCCAGTTGTTCTCTCAGACCCCCTGTCAGCCCCAGTTCCCGGCGCCTTTCTGGTCTCCCCAAGACACCCCCTGAGGCCTGCCTCCACCATGGCCCCTGAACCAGGGAGTATGATTCTCCAGCTAAAGCCTTTCCGGGGTGCCCACGGCCCCCAGGGACATGCGGTTCTGCTGCTGCCCAGCCCTGGGGGCGGCCCCCTGGTACCATGCCCTCCTCTCCCTTCCCTCCCGCTCACCCTCGCTCCCCACCCCGCCTCTGTCTCCCTGCCTTCCTCCACTCCCTGGCCCCCCTGCCTGCGCCCCTCACCGAGCTCACGGCTGCAGGTCGCCAGCAGCACCACTAGCATCAGCTGTGTCCCCCTCATGGTCCAGTCCTCACACTGCGCTCCCCAGCACGTTCGCCTTCGGCCTGCCCGCAGGGACAGCGCACACCCAGTGCAGCCGCCCAACCAGTCAGCCAAGCTGATTAGTGGGATTGGGTTTTCTGGGGCGGCAGAGGTGCAGAGACCCGCCCCCCCTCCACCCACTGGGGCCCCTCCCGCCTCCACTGGATGCCCCATTCCTCTGTGGGTACTGCTCCTGACCTCCCTGTCCCCTTCCTCTACCTCCCACAGCCTGGGGTCCCTCCCCGGCCCTGATGGCCCCTCTCTATGGTTTGGGGGCCCTCACCTCCCTCTGTGACTCCCTTACCTGGGCTCCCCACCTTCTCCTTCCTCCTCCACCCCTACCCCCACCCTGGTTTCTGCCTCTGCTGGGCACCCTTCCCACTTGGGTCCCCAGGCCTATCTCCAGGGAAGAGTCTGGGTCTAGTAGTCCTGGGTTTGAATGCTAGCAGGGTGCCCTACAACCCACCCCCAGCTCCTTTGAGGTAGTCTCGTGGGGCATAGTGATATAGGGACAGATTGCTGCCTGGACAAACAGCCAAAATGTACTCAGAGGCTTATAGGCCCAAAGACAGGAAAAGTACTGGGTCAACAGAAAGGTCCTGGATGGAGGTTCGAGGTGGGGAGGGGCCAGGGTCGCCTTGGGGACACTAACCCTGGTGTCCACTGAAGGAGCAGGTACCCCTTGGTCTCTAAGGAAGCCAAAGGGGCTGCCCCTTGGGCAGGGCTCTCTTGGCCCCATTGTAGGTCAGGAAATTGACAGGAAGGTCCTTGCCCAGGGCCCAGACAGGACTGAAGTGTGGCTCCAGCCACTGGTCCCCCCCAACACACACATGCACACGCATGTGCACACACATGCACACAGGCACTCCCCTCCCCCAGAGTGCCTGCACTTCAGCCTCCCCAGGATGTCCTCCACTTGTAACCCAGTCACACCCTCCACCAAGCCCACAGCTGCCAGGGTGAACCCTGGGGTGGGGTGGGGAGGGTTGTTGACACGTCCCAGGGCCTCTAGCTGGGCAGTCAAGGCCTTGGTGCCCAGACTCACTTGGGGCCACACTGCAACCCCACCCAACTCCTCCATCTTCTCTCAGAGGGTCCAAACCTTACTCCCATCCTAGACTTTGCATCTGCTCTTCCTGTCACCAGGGATGCCCATCCCTCCCCGCCCTCCTATGGTTGAAATTCTCTGTCTGGGCACTCTCCCCCCACCCCCATCCCACAGCCTTTTTATGGTCCTTGGCTTTCCTTTGAGATCAGCTCCATGTGGGAACTGACGGGGCTTGAGCCTCCCTGGGCACTGGGTGGGGCCTGAGGGCGAGGCTTGTGTTTTCCTGTAGCATCCAGCCTGTGTCAGCCACATCCTCTGCTGGATCTATTTTCCTCGCTACGGCTCTGGAGGCACACAACACTAACAACTCTACTTTGGATATAGGATCAGATGCTCCTGGCCGGTGCTGACTTGGGCGGATCACCTTGTGTGGGCTGAGGAAAAGCAAGCAGCAACCGGGCTTGTCTGATTTTACACTTCACTACGCCACACACTGCAACTGGGCGCTGATGCTGGATGCAGCTAACTGGATTAGACACCCACTGCACACGCCCTAACTTCCTCCTCCGGTCTAGCCCAATTCCATTGCTGCAGCCCATACCAGCCCAACTCCTGTTCTCGGACCCAAGGGCCCCACCCATGCTTTCCATCTGGAACACACCCCTGACCCCTGGGCATTCGCTCCTCCTACAGTTTCTGCCTGATCCCTGGGTAGCCAGGCTGAACCTTACTGCAAAGTTGCACCTGTCTACTTAGGTAGGGGAGAAACGTGGCTCAGTCAGAGTCTGGATGGGTTCTGTCTAGGATGCCTCCATGCTGAGAGGTCTCCAACCACCCCTCAGTTCTACTAGGAGCCTCGAGGGCAGGGCTCAGAGTGTGACCAGGGGCAGCACTCAGAGTTTGACCAGGATCAGGGCTCAGCGTGTGACCAGAATCAGGGCTCAGTCTGTGATAGGGTCAGGGCTCAGAGTGTGACCAGGGTCAGGGCTAGAGTGTGACCAGGGTCATGGCTCAAAGTGTGACCAGGATCAGGGCTCAGAGTGTGACAAAGATCAGGGCTCGGGGTGTGACCAGGGTCAGGGCTCAGAGTGTGACCAGGTGTCAGGACTCAGAGTGTGACCAGGGTCAGGGCTCAAAGTGTGACCAGGATCAGGGCTCAGGGTGTGACCAGGTGTCAGGACTCAGAGTGTGACCAGGTGTCAGGACTCAGAGTGTGACCAGGGTCAGGCCTCAGAGTGTGACAAAGATCAAGGCTCAGGGTGTGACCAGGGTCAGGGCTCAGAGTGTGACCAGGATCAGGCTCAGTGTGTGACCAGGATCAAGGCTCAGTGTGTGACCCGGATCAGGGCTCAGCGTGTGACCAGGGTTCCTCTTCTGCTGCATATCTACCCGCTAGGCTTCCTCTCCAGCTGCCTGTGGGTGGCCTCCTCTGGGCAGTGTGCCAAACCCAGGAAGGCAGAGGGGTGTCCTCGGCTCCTGGTCACCCGTTCCCCTGTGGGGTCCAGCAGAGTAGACCGATGACTCCTAAGCTCACGTTTCTACCCTGTGAAGGAAGTGCGGGGTGTAGCGTTCTCCCCGACGCAGCCCTTTCTGCCGTGCGCTTCCTGAAAGACCCAGATGTGGATGTTCCCTACTGTATGGCCACCTGTGTATGAGCAGGAGTCAGGCTGCTCCCGTCTATGCTGTGGCCAGCATCTTCCAGCGGGACATGCACTCGGAGGCACAGAGCTGGGGACACCTGGGAACCCTCGCCGTCCCCCCCAACACGGGCTCCTTGTCCATGTGATCACCGCTTCTACTCCCCGTCCACCACGGCCTGACCCTTCCAGGAGGTATGCAGGAACTTTGTGAAAGACCCATCCGCTCTTCAGCGAAAACCAGGAGACATCTGTTTACACCTCTAGACTCAGAACCCCTGCCTAGGAGTCCTGAACTACTTTATCAGAGTGCTCACCCAGCCCTCACCAGGCGCCCACATTGGGAGCCCTGCCTTTCACCAGATTCTCGAGCCTCAAGCAGGGGAGGCGCAGGCTCTGTGTGGGCGGCCACTCCCTCCCGTCCACAGGGGTTTGGTGACATTTCGGGGGCCCAGCACTCAACAGAGTTCTCGGGGCATCTTAGAGTTTCATGCCTGCAGCGGACTTGCCCTCCAGGGGCGGCACCACTCCACCCAGGGGCACAGCGGGCTGGCTTCCCGCCCGTCCTCACCCTGTCTTCCCTGTGTGCTCGCTCATCGACTGAAACACTACTTTGACTTTGCTCCTTTCTGACTCTGAGTGTGGTTGATTTCCTTGTCGGTGAAACTGCTGCTCAGGTCCTTTGCTCCTCCTTGTGGATTTGGAAGTATTCTTTAGTGTTCACAGGTATTCACATGTGTGGCAGGCATTTCCTACTTTGTCTCCTGTGTTTTAGTTTTGTGCATCGTACTTTTTCATGTATTTCACTTAGATATTCTTTCTAAGAAACATGAATCGTTCTCAGTCTGGATTTTCAGACTTGTTTTTCTTTCAAACACTTTTTTTCCCTCTTTTTAATTTGTAACAGCTTTATTGGACATGCTTCACATTCCATCCAATTCACCCACTGGAAGTTTCTGGTATATTCACAGGTCCTGCGACCATCCCCAGTCAGGCTTAGGAAGAACCCCCCCGCCCTTGGGCTGCCACCCCCGCGCACCAGCGCATTCCCAGCGGGCCCTGGCCACCGCTCGCTGGCTCCCTGCCTCTTCGGATTTGCCTGTGCTGAGCACTTCGGAGAAATGGAAGCACAGAGAATGCGGTCTTCCGGTCTTCCGTATGTGGCCTCTTGCTCTCCGTGTGTCTCAGGTTCGTGCAGCCCTTAGCAGCACCAGGGGACGCACTCCGCGGTCTGGAGAGACACCCTCCCACGTGCCCCCAGCCCCGCTGGCCCGAGGTCCTGCTTGTGCCTTTGGGTGGAGTCACTCTCTGCCGGGACGCCCCCCCCCCCACACTGGGCGGCTGCACCACCGCACTGGCCTTTCCACGTTTTCTTTCATGAGAGCGTGGCCGGGATAAGGACAAGGAAAGGGCTGGGCGCTGTGCCTGGGGGTCATGTGGTGGGGAGGAGCCATGCCCCCTGGTTGCGGGGGGCGGGGTCTTGGTCCACTTCGCAGCCGGAGGCTGGCTGGAGTCATGATTAAGTTTCCCAGTGTGTGGGGCGGGGTGCCGGGGTGCGCGCGCGCACCTGTGCGTGGGTGGGGGCGCCTGTCTGCTCTGTTCCTGCCATCCTCCCCTCTCCAGTTCCCCCAAGCGCCCCGCCCCCTCCCCCTCCCCCTCCCCTCCCAGGGCCACCTCTAGTTCTTCCGCGCTGCTGCTCTGCCCTGGGACGCTCCTCGAGCGTCTCCCCAGCCCTGGTGGCCCGGCTCAGCTGCCTGGGGAGCAGCGTCTGCCTGGGGGTCTGGGCACATGTCAGCTCCGTGAGTGGGGGGACAGCTGAGGGGGAACGGCGGTCAGTCGGTGTTGCAGAGGCTGTACTGGCAGCAGACGATGGACACGTGGGGGCCCAGGCCCAGGCTGGCGATGTCCGGGCAGCCGCTGTAGCACGATTTGGTCACCAGAGGCAGGTCAATGACGCTGAAGGGGACTCCTGGGGTGGACAGAAACTCCCTGAGGCTCTGAGCTGCCCGTGCGCCCTGCCCCACCTGCCACCAAGCCGAGAGTCAGTCCCCAGCCTGGGCGTAACTGGCCCCCTCCCTTGGGTCCTTTCCTGCTCTGAGGTCAGTGGATGCTCCCCTCACCCTGTTCCTGACTTGTTGGGAGCCTGGATCAGCTCTGCCCCCTCTGAGCCTGGGTCTCTTCTCCTGGGCAAGGAGGGCACAGCTGGCCCACCCCGCGCATCCCCTACTCACGGGTGCCGATGCTGACACAGTAGTTGGAGCCCCAGGGGCATCTGGACGCATTGAGGCACCCTC